GCAGTTCCATTTCTGTAAAGCTTAAGTGAAAAACACTTTTTTATGATTGTACTAGCTGATAATTAAATAATAATGTCTTTTAGGTGTGGGAAGGTCTTGGAGTCGTGAAAACTGGACGTGTTATGCTTGGGGAGACAGATCCTGTGAGTTTAATTTTAGGCCTAGTTGATAACTTTTTTGAATTTATTTTTATTGAAATGACATGTGGAATTAACGTGTTGTACCAATATTTCTTATCTATACTACTCTTGTCAGCCATCCTTTTTTAAGTACATCTTATTTAAAATTTATTTTTGGAGTTTTTCCAATCAATATTTCCTTGCGAAGCAACGGCCAAAGGCTGTTGCATAACATGTACTGTGAAAGGTTTGAACCCAGGAGTTATTTCAAAAGTAGCTTGAGTTTGATCGTCCGAGTGAACATAGTTCTGAATAGGACTGTTGTTGCTGACAGTGACTGACGTTTCGACAACCTGTGCGGTAGTCATCTTCAGAGTCAAGGTGAGTTGTATCACGTCAGTTGATGGTATTATACTCTGGTTATTGATCTGATTGGTCAATTACGTCGCGATGTTGTTGGTCGTCTGTCAGTTAAGCCGTGATGTTATTGGCTATGAAGACTCGTAATCAGTAATTGGTGCGTTTCGATCCCTCTATTGTCACAGTTAAACAGTCGTCTATTGTTAGTCAAATTGTCAGTTCTCCAGTCTTTCTCTCGTAGTTAGTTTTGCTTGATCTCGTCATTAAGTCGTTTGTACGACGCTGGTAACTGTTCACTGACTGTTGACTACGATTCAGTGTCGTTTGTTCTAAGTTAGTAAACCAGCTTTCTAAAGTAAGACGTTGATAGTAGTCTGTAGAATACGTTATACATGTCGCAGAGTCCCAGTCAATTTGATGTTTTGTCTTTAAATGGTGCCCAGCAATGTGTTTGTTGACGTCACCATTCCTCGTCGCTCGTTTGTGTTCGGTCAGTCGCGTGCTTAGGTTGCCGCCGGTTTCACCAATGTAAGAAGCCTGGCAGTCGCAGCATTTGATCTTATATACTGCTCTCTGTCTGTCCTCCGGTTTGTATTTGTCCTTGACATTAGTAAGCAGTCGCCGTAAAGTGGTTATCGGTTTGTGTGCAACACGTATATTGTAAGGTTGTAATAGACGTAATATACGTGCAATAGTTTCAGAGGTGCCTCTAATGTACGGTATAGTCGCTGTCGTAACAGGACCAGAATTGGTTGTGAGAGGTCGGGTTGTACGAAGACTGGTCTAGTAATCGGTCGATATGTGTCGGTTTTCTGTAAATAGACGCCGTACAAACGACTTTTATTATATACATACTGAGAAATACTCACCAAAAAGCTATGTCGACTTTAATTCCACAGGAAAGGCTTAAAATAAAATATTTTGCCAATAATGCCATACATCCTCGCCTGGCATAGTGGTAACAGATTGTCCCAACAAACAGGACATACATGTGAATACAATACAATACTTTATTCAAGAGATAAAAACTAAAGTTACAAAATATCTCTCAAAAGGGGATATCTAAGGGTCAACCCTATATAAAAGATTTCCCAAAATGAAAGATGAAAAGGTAAAATCTAGAATCTAAAACATTATATATAGAGAGAAAAATCTAAAACCTAAAAAGTAGAATAAAAAACATCGTTTGCACGTCATAATTAAAACTATTTACAATCGTATTAATCAATATTCATATAAATCCTTAATCTGTTGCGAAATAAAGTCAGCGATCCTGCGTGTACAACATCTTTAGGCAAGTTATTCCACACATTAACGATCCATACCAGAAACAAAGAAAGAACATTCGTAACAATTTATCATGGCAAGCGTTTACATTATATTAGCTTATAATCGCGATTGGCTCTAGTTCGATTACACTTAGTAAGTTCAAAAAAAGTCCGAAAAAGGAAGGCTATCTATTCCAAAAACTATCTTGTAGCACTGAACTAGAGATAAGAACTCTCTACATTTCTCCAGAGTTTGCCAATTCAGTAAGCGGCAGCGGTCTTCCCGTGATGCTCTTCTTTGGACTTTTTCCAAGGATTCAATACCTTTATTTGGTGGGGCACCAGACAGGGGCAGCGTATTCGAGCATAGGTCTTACCAACGACTTAAAGAGTGATCGTTTCTGAGTGATCGCTTAATTACACCCCACACTTTGTTTGCCTTGTTACTATGTAAGAGACGTGTTTACCCCAAGATAGATCGTAGTTTACTGTGACCCCTAGGTCCTTGACACTTTCAACAGATTTTAGTTGCACACCTAGAGATCATCTCTGAAATTTTAAACCAGTATATTTGTCATATTTCAGGCAAACTCAAACCCAGGAACAATCCGTTGGGATTACTGTATTGAGATTAAAAGGCAAGTTTATTGATGAACACATTATCAATGCTTTAAATGAAACACTCTTACCCATGCTTTGTTTTGTGTTTCAATGTCGTATTTGCACTGGTTTTACAATCCTGTCTTAACCTTCATGATAAGGACTAAAATGAATGTTAAAACAGGATCAAAAGTCTGCCCAGATCACCTCAAAACGACAGTGGAACATAAAATACAGAATGGGTTAGTGTATTTCATTTTTATATTTTATTTCATTTCAGTAAGCTCCAAATAATACAGCCAATTTTTCACAATAAAACTGTTTCCATATGAACCCTTCAAAAGTTAAGTTAATTCAGTAAAGTTGACTTTTTAAAAGCACATAATGTTTACTATATATTCAGTGCGGAGGAGTGGGGGCACTTATTTGAAGGGGTTGCTTATTTAACAATTATTCCACGAGTGCGCGTTAAATATGAGATGGTAGATAGCCAACGAGGTGGGTAGCGCTGAGTTGGCTATAATCATCTCATATCCAACAAGGGCGAGTGGAATAATTGTTTTATTAAAGACGCCAACAAAATATCGAGAATTCTTCCCGACTTTATTTGTAAAAACAGCCGATTTTCAGCTTGTTTTTGATATTGTTAGCAGACGCGTAGAGTTACCATATTTTGAGAGCATGGTATAATGGCGCATATACCATGATGGCTAAGCCAATCAGAGCTCTAATGATTCAGTTTTTAATAATTAGGATTATTAGCCTGAACAGGACCAACACTTATAAGAGCAGGGTCCGAAATTGCGCCTTCCTGGTCGCCAATGCGAGTAAAAATTTAGTCCTGGCGACCAGAATTTCATAGCTGGTCGCCAGCTATGCCGCCGTTCGGAGAAACTGATTAAGAATTGAAACCTCGAAAAGCTATTTGCCAACAGGTGTCTTCCTTTTTGTCCTGCTGATATTTTTTAATTAAAAAGGAAACGAATCTTCCTGTAATAATACCTCCACAACAGCTACGATCAATAGGAGTTGAACGTTTCCAAGCCGCCATTAGTAATGTGGCACAAAAAAAATGTGGCCTGGTACGAGCAACATGGCGGCTATGTTTCGTGGTTGTTTTGTGGATTGTTTTGTGGTAGTTATCGGAAGAAAATAGTTTTGATATGATCCGGTACAGTCATGGGCAGACAGCTTTCTGTTCCTACGTTCTAGATCAGATGGCTTTACATGTATATCTCCAAAAAGTAATTTTTGGAAAAAATGAGACTTCACTCGTACACGTACGGTTTCTCTCTGGTATCGGGAGCGGAAGTATTGCAATTTTTAAGCTCAAAAACGTCCATACCATGCATTTTTTATTCGTGTTTAAACTTTTATTTGAAAAAAAGGGAGGGGGAATTTTTGGCGACCACAATTTGCCCTCTGGCGACCAAAAATTTATACTTGATCGCCAGTTGGCGCTCATATTAAAAAGTTAATTTCGGACCCTGAAGAGGGGGTGCTTTTTTGAAACTGGCTGCTAATTTAAGTGGCAGTTTACCAAATAAGTCAGTAGACCAAATAGTCTGAAGTTCTAAACCCAGAAATTAATGTACATCATTATCTAAAGGTGAAGACACGTACCTTGTCCCAAGGGCTTTTTCTTTAGTAAATGAAAAAAGAACTGTACACGAGGTTGAGGTGACGGAATGGCTTACAGCAAATTTGTTTTTTTTGAAATCATAATTTTATAAAAATAGTTTTCTTTTGGCAATTTTATTTTAGTTATGTAGTGGTAATAAGCTTAGAATACATAAAGTGGAAATTCCCCTTCATTACTTGGAACTAACTATTATTGGCAGTCGGTTTTACTCCGCTCGTGTTGAGTACCAGGGAAAACTTCTGTATTTATTTTCCTAGGTAATGGTTGGGTGTTTTTGCGCAACAAGAATCTTTTGTGATTCTTACGTACAATTTAGTGATAAGAAAAGATGTTATTAAGCAGGTCATGGTGGACTCCGATTACTTACTTTTGCCTGAATTTAAGCAACGAAAGAAAGAAACCGCCGCCTGGTTAGCTCAGTTGGGAGAGCGTCGGTCTGCTGAGCGGGAGGTCGCGGGTTCTAAACCCGGCCGGACCAACACTCAGGGTTTTTAAATAACTGAGAAGAAAGTGCTGCCTTTGTAATGACTTCTGTAAATGGTTAGACTTTCTAGTCTTCTCGGATAAGGACGGAAAACCGTAGGTCCCGTCTCACAGCACTTTTACTCATTTGTTCCTGTGGGACGTAAAAGAACCCCACATCGCTATTTGAAAAGAGAAGGGGTCATAGAACCCGGCGATGTGGCCAACCTTTACGGGTCGTGGGATTGGGTAGGGATGGCACCTCGCATGGGACCTGATTCCCGTTCGTGCACATTCCCTCGGAGCAGGCCTGTGTCCAGAAAAGCTGGTTGAAAAAATTCCTGGGTTACTTGGATTCCTAAGTTCAGAACTTCGTTTTTACTCCCTAAAACAGTCCTTAAGAAGGATTGCATAAATGGAGAAAAAGAAGTCACTATTCTTTACTCTAGCCTGCGAATACAGCCGTAGCCTGCAGAAGAGGTTTTATTTCTTCGTGATTTTCAGGCGGGGGAAGGGAAACGCGAGGCGGGCCAGCGTGCCTCGCGCTCTATGTCGCCTCGCGCTGGCCTTCGCTCGCCTGATAAACACGAATAATGCCTGTTCAAGCATCTAATACAGGAACCTCTCCCTGAATGCTCCTCGTCACTGGAACGTTTCATGACAGAGACGCCCCAATGACGACCAGGGACGAGTTTATTCGCAGGCTGTCTTTACTCGTGAATTTTCTGACCTGACCAGCTGACGAGTGTCGTGTGTTTCATTTTAGGACTATTATTCATGGCAGTGACTCGGTAGAAAGTGCAGAAAAGGAAATTGCTCTTTGGTTTAGTAAGCAAGAAGAAATGGTGGATTGGACTCCTGCAGCCTTTAAATATATTTATGAAAAATGATTTATAATCACTAACTTGTAGCTAGCAGCAATAAATTCAGTGAATTTTGTAATAGATCCTTTCTCTTTCCTTGTAAGGTTACTTAGGCCCTGGCAAGGGAAGCAAGGGTGACACAGTGCTAGGAGCACTGGCCTCCCACCATTGTGGCCCAGGTTCAACTGACGTAGTATGTATGGGGATCGGGAGGTACTCGGGCCTACATGCGTGATTGCTGGATATTGGACAAAAATATCATGCATCCATTCTATCAGCCCTATTTAGCTGGTGTGCGCTGGGCTTTTTGCAGCTCGTCATATACATTGAGCTGACTGAAAATGAAGACCAACATGCCGTTCGTGAAAATGTTTGTGCAAGTGCGTCTGTGGCAATTACCAAATTAACAATGTAGTGCTAGGTAAAGCTGGGAGCGATTGGCTTGTTGAGGCTGTAAAAGCCGAAATAAAAGAAAACTAGATAACATACAACTCAAGTTTTGGTATTTTTTTGCGCACGCAAAGTGACGTTTAAATTGGTGACATCTGCAATACATTTGAAGTACAAAGAGAAGGTACTCTGTGTCGGTGCACTGTGAACAGTCCTGAACAGTCGCACGTAACCTAACTGTACCGGATCTACCGTGCAGCACGATTCTCCTCACACGTAGCTAGTTGTCAAACCTTTCCATACTTACTTCAGGTGACGCCTTTCTTTGTTTTCTTTGCGTATTTTATTGTCACTGATTTTTTAAAATCAGTGACAAAAAAATAGATGCTCATGGTCAAGAAGACAATCATTCTGGCTTAACCTACGACTTTAAATGTTTTTTCTTCACCAGGGGGCCAGGGAGAGACAATTAAACTAAATTAAAGTAAATTATAGTGTAATGAATTGGTGAGTTACCTTTTGGTCTTCTCTGCTTGGGCAGCGCAACACACCCCACCTCCAAAGCCAGGAAAAAGCGCCCTGGGGACGAGGTTGCGCAACGCACAAAGTGATGCGGGTTCTCTCTCGTTTGATTCTTTTGTTTTTCTGATCCAAAATATGCTCGCAGTTGAACTCTGACTCGGATGCGATGTTAGTTGCCCTTTATCACTGATTTGTTCAGAATAATTTTGGTGCGCCGTGTCTGCTTTTACCCAAAAATAAATTAATGTAACTGATATCATAGAGCCCTGTGTCAGTCCTGTCAGCAAAGGAACACGCAAATATTAGTGAATTTCAACAAACTTTCCCCTAGGACTAAAATACCTGCATGGCATTTGTCTAGTTGGTTTGCTCTACCGGGAAAGAACTAGACTACGAGTGGTCCCCATTTTTCCTGAGGGATAGTAGCATGATAGTAGAGCAAGGGACTTGCGAGCGAGAGCGCGCGTGAAAATCACCCTACGCGAGAAAGGCGAGACGCGGTGGGGAAAGAGAAAAATGAAAAAATTTTCTCTATATATTTTCTATATTTTTCTTGTATAATTTTACGTTTTCTCTCGCTGCGCATGGCTCTAGCGTAGCTACCCCTTTCGACGCCTGCTACTCAGGCTAGTCTAGGGCGCCTCCTTGCCAATGCAGCCCCTCCCCCGACGCTTTTTGCCCCCAGTCCCCAAAGGAGAATTTTTCCCGATGATCTTGATCCACCGTGGATCTTCGTGGATCCAGCATTTTAATATACCCTATTCATACAGGGCGGGCTTTATACTTAATACGTTGCAGCAATGAAATTCACCACTACTATCATTGTCATCATTCTTTGCACTGCAGTTTATGCACTCAAAAAAGTGGATGCTGGGGATGGAAATGTACATACTTTGTCCCTGGATTCTACCGACGATTTTTGTGAGGGGGACAGTGAGAGATGCAAGGTAAACCACTGCCTGAATATTTTATCTTTTAACTTACATATGTTATATATGTTTACAAAGAAAAGAAAAAAAATTGCGGCTTTATTTCGATCCGCGTCCTTTTTCGATCCGTAACTATCTATAGTCTGTCGCTGTCTCCCCTCCCCACTGACACTTGTTTGATTTTCGAACCCAGTCCAACATCTCCTTTCACACGTTCAATTCGAAAAATGGCGTTTCGCAGCAAAGTTTCCCCTTTCGTTCGTTCGTCCTTGAGTGTGTTTAGATCCCCGATAGTCAGGCGGACACTTACTTCTCAGTCTAAGGAGAGCGCCTCGTATTTCCGTTTTGCTGGACCTTTTGTTATTGGGGCTACCGCTGCCGGTGCCGGCCTTTTTGCTGCAAGTCGATTGTACAACAACAATTTTACTTTCTTCGAGAATGTACACGCTGCAACTAAGGTAATTTGCTTGGATGTTGTATTTATATGTATTTATATCGGTATGGAATACTTTTGAGACCTCAACGTAACGTATGACTTTATGTGGGACACTTGTTGGCAAAATTTCGATATTCTTGGTTTGCAACCACGTGACAAGGCGGCCATGTTAGGTGTCAATACCTTAGAATTTTTTCTCGAAGAATATTCACATGAAGATGGAGTTCAGTTTACTTACCAGAGGGGAGAAATTTTTTTGTTCTTGATCACCAGCATGACCATTATTCTTGTTAGTCCTTTGGACTCTATGATGCACTGCCTCCAATATTATTGTAGCTTTATCTCGCTTGAATCTAAAACAATTGCTCCTTCTTAAGATTGTAATATTGTTCTGATAGTGGTTAGTGTAGAAACTAAGCACCCCCACTCCCCACACACACGCACACCAGGGGGGAGGTAATCCCTGTTATTGCCTATAGAGGGAGGCCCACCCGAGATGGGTACATTTTATTCAGGCTTCAGGTATATGCAAGGATAGGGAAATCTTTCATTTCAGTCTGTTAAATGACCTAAAGGGACCTCAGAAAGATTTTGTGGCTGTGGAAAAGGTGAGAAAATTTTCTGGTTTCATGATTTATTCATGTTTAAAAGACATTGCATTTACAGCAGTTAAAAGGGGATGCAAAGATGATCTATATCAGGTGTGTGAAAGGGCGGTGCCATTTGTCCATGAAAGGGATATAAAAGGGCTACCTTTTCTATCAAAAATGGTACATAAAAGGAGAGGGGAGAATGAACTTAGAGAAAGAATCCCTATGCCCGGTGATAATTATTTGAAATCTATTTTAAGTTTGCACGCATGCTAGGAAAGTCATTTTTGTCTGTTGTTTCCGTGACACTTGTGGTCTACTTTCACATGGACATGACATGTTTCCCCCAGCGAAACAATAAATTGAAGTTTGACAGCTGTTATAGCAATTTGTCATGCCAAAGGTTTAAGTTGCTGACACGTTTGAAATTTATCAGCTTGTTCCCTCATTATTTAGGAACGAGTCTCAATGAGAATGGATTGCAGTATTGGAGTCAAAATGCGGCTTTGAGATTTAAAAAGATTAACATTTTAACGGGATTGTCGTTTGATATTCAGTGGATCACATCCCTGGTATGTTTTGCGTGGAGTTCCAACATTTCGTTAATCTTTTTCATAAATAGCAAAATTGCCCTCGTCTTCAAAATTGAAATGCTAAAATTGAACTGCGAATGAAGAATCGTTGCGGAGAGTCAGGAGGTTTTTCATTTAGAGGCGCTTTGTGGTTTCCGCAGTGATTTTGTTTATGCGAAGTTTCTGAGACCAATGTTGTAATTCGACCTTCTAGCTATTTTCACCATCAAGTGTAATGAGTCTGTTAGCTTTTCTTTCTTGTTTCCTTGTTTTCTTTTTCTTCATTAAGGACCGAATAGCTTCCTTTCAATTAAAGCAAATCATTGTGTTTTTGAACTAATTGTTCCATGTGTGTATTTCTTTCATTGCGTGATTGCGATTGTTTGGTTACGGAATTACAACTGGTTCAGAGTACTGCATGCAGTTGAGAGTTTGAACATTAAACATGAATTACGATCAAAAAAAGTAAAGCCATTCTGTATCATGCAGACATTTCCAAACGATATTTCTTGGTTTGCCACTTGAAAATTGTGTTAAAATTTTTGCATGAATTAAGCAAAGGAGTGGTGTGATGTCATTGGACAGCACTAACGGCTGCTCGATTCAGATGTTACTGAGGGAGTAATAACGACTCGGAGTAATTGGATGAAATTCAGGCTATGAAGTTGCCTGATGAGTTTGGTCCTATAATGTTTTGGACCATATGAAACAGTACTGTCGCAATAATCGATGATTACTCCTGAAGCCTGAACTCCTGTGAAGTTATAGAATTTCCAATATATTATTATGATCAGGATGCTTGTGCTCTTGCTTGGTAGACTGCATTTTAGATTTTGGCCTCATGAAGGGAATTCAGGATGGAAAGCTGATGTTTGTGCTTGAAAAAGTATCACTAATTTCAGGGTTGTGTATATCTATCTATACAAGCTCCCCTATCACTTTCACATGGAAGCTTCCCCTGAGGCAAGAAGACATGAAATTCTGATTCAGAGGTAGAATGGACTAATAGTTTAACCTAAGAATGGATTAATTACCTACAACAGTTACACCCGCTCTTTGATTTATGTCCTCTGTGCTCTGCCACCTGTCTTTTGAATTATTATAATGGAAGTATGATTATTTCTGCATCTATGTACTACTAACCATTTGGTTTCTCGGTTCAATTTTTAGGTAGAAAACAAACCAGATAAAACTGAAAGAACCTTTATAATGGTGAAGCCTGATGGTGTCCAGCGTGGTCTTATTGGAGACATCATCAAGCGATTTGAGCAGAAAGGGTTCAAATTGGTAGCAATGAAATTTATGCAGGTAAGAAGGATTCTAATGGAATATTGTATTCCTTTTTGTATTTTTTGGCCAGTTGATTATAGCTGGTGATAAACATCTTAGTCTCCACTTTCCCCTACTTTTTGTTTGAAGTGCAGTAAGTTATGTCTGTGTTCTTTCCAAGGCAAGTGAGGAACATTTGCGACAGCATTATGCTGACCTAAGTAATCTGCCTTTCTTTCCTGGACTTGTGAAGCACATGGCTAGTGGGCCTGTTGTTGCCATGGTAAGATGCAATTTTAATTATTATCATTATGGACCCATGTCAATTTTCAGACCCTTTCTAGGAAATAAAACTCTGTGCGCTGTAACTTAACATGACTAGTTTAGCTTTAATATTATTTGATAATGTTTGGACAGACTGACCCATGACTGCCTCCCAATAAATGGCTCAAAAAGCTCCCAAAAACAGTTTTTAGCTTAGTGTTTATCTAATGCACTAACTTGACCCTCCAATACCCACTACCCCTCCCCAAGAAACCTAATAATAATTTTTATTAACGTCTTGGCCTGAAGGTAATGCTGGCCACTCATCAGAAGTTATTTTGGTACTAATGACCAATTGACCAATGGTTTGTCAAACTGTAAATAAAAGCAGAACTTAGCTCCAAGTGAACAGAATATTAATTAGACAAAACTCAGGAGAAATTTTAACAAGTATTCACTGAGAAAATCTGCTATTTCTCTACTCAATCTTGTCAAGAAGGGAAATTAAAACTCATTCATTCTCTTTGAATAAAATGAGTGTATTATGTATGAGGTTTTTGGTTTAATTTTAAAGCAGTCCACTCTGTCCGTAACCAAAGTCAGGGATTTGGCTTATAGTGGATTCAAGTATTTTCACAATTCACTCATGCAGAATTAAAAGAATATGCAAACATTGAGCAAAATTATTCATTTGAAGGGACATTAAAAGATAGTATCAATCTGGTGACACTCAAATGTGTACATTCTAGCTCTTTTTGATAACTGAAATCTTCAGCCAGCATTGCCAAAATACACAGCCTTTAAACATCTCTTAGGTTGACCACCTTTTTCTGCTTCCTATTTTAACTTCACTTGGCTTGAATACGTGAAAAAAAAATTGTGCTGGATTGTTGCAAAACTGCACATCAACAAGTGTTTTTGAACTGAAAAATGTTGTACTGCGTGTTATGCCTCTCATGTCATAAAAAATGCCAGAAGAAGACTCTGGCACTGTACAAGTCTGAGAAGGACTGAAAGTTTAATGGCAACTGATCGATGCGCCTACCAGAGGCTAGTTTTTGTTTCTCTTTAAAAAGGGATACCATATGATAAACCACTTATGGACCTCACTTACCCAGGCTGGACTGTACTGGGTAATATTAGACCTAGGTCATTCTTGTACGGAGTTTAATGTGCTTGGTCTGTACTACCACTTCAGTACAAGACCAGTGACACCAAGTCAGCCATGTCAGCACTTAGCATTCACTGTAAAGGATCAGAGTTAGAAAGCATTAATGTTGTGGAAGCTAAGTTGAATTAAGAGGGGAACTCTCCCTTAGTTAGCATCTACATGTACATGTACTGTAAGGGATTAGAGTTAGAAATCATCAATGCTGTGGAAGCTAAGTTGAATAATGCTAGTTAGCAAAGCAGTTCAGTTTCTGTTTGTTGACTAGCTTATGATTGCACTAGCTGGTAATTAGATTATGATTTCCTGTAGGTGTGGGAAGGTCTTGGAGTCGTGAAAACTGGACGTGTCATGCTTGGAGAGACAGATCCTGTGAGTTTAATTTTAGGCTTAGCTGATAAATATATTTTATTTATTTTTATTGAAATGAGGTTTGGAATATAATTAACATGCCACATGGATATTCTTTATGTATACTGCACTTGTCAGCTATCCTTTTTAAAACATATTTTAAATTTATTATTTGAACTTTTCCTATCAATATTTTATTGAGAATAAATTAGAGGTTTGGGGAGAAATGTATTGATAAACTGCCACCAGCACAGAAAACATGTGCAATTTTAGTTCTGCAATGAGTTATGGATTACCCTCCGGGAACTAATTTGTGGGTGCAGCTCCAAAATGCCACTGTTGCAACATCATTTAGGTTATCATTAGATCCCATCGACCGTAGCCCCTTCAGACACCTCATGAAATTTACACAACGTAGTTTTTCTCTTTATGTATTATGCACCTATCAATGTAAACCCCGTGGGGGGGGGGGGGGGGGGGGGCCAAGGGGGGGGGGTTTGACAAATTTTAAATTTTTTTGATCAAATTCCCCAGGGTGGGAAACGAAAGGTCAATCANCCCCCACCCCAGGGGAAAAAATCTAAACAAACAATACTATAATACTGTATAAAACGAATTAAAAGAACATTTCAAAAGTACGTCCTTACTAAACGTAAGCTCCATTAAATTACTCGCTGTAATTAAGTATTTTCTCTCTCCACTAGCATCTCTTATTTTGAACAACAAAATCACTCTAGGAAGATTGACCGTGCTATTATAATATTAATGAAACATAAAATGCTTTATAACATCTGCTCAACATGTCGGAACAGGTCGGATCAGTGACCTGTAAAAAATCCTCTGACTTTCAAGGTGGAATTCGATTTCAATCGAGTTTTACAATCAGATGGGAACTTGAAGATAAAAACTTTCTCAAAATAGACATTATCTGTTTAGATGACAGTTTAAAGTATCGGATTATGTCGATTAAAACAAATGAAAACTTCACACCTTTCTCCAACAGCGTGACTTTCAGAAAGCCTCGAGGGACGGATTTGGTAACCGCTTCTGAATTGATACCAGGCTTCTGTCGGTCAAAGTCAAATGTCCCAACCCCGGGCTCGCTTCTTACGATCAAAAGCCCGACAGGGGGATAGTCTCAGGCATCAAACCCCCGCCCCTTGCCCGCCCTCCCCCCCCCCTCCCCCACAGGACTTACATTGATAGGTGCATTAGTGTTAAGCACTGCTTTTACTGATTAGGGTTAAGCACGTTTTGGGGGTTGCGGTTGATGCTCTATGTACTTAAATTATTTTCCCTCCATCCGTCAAACCTGCAGTGGTCTAGTGGTTAGTGTGGCTTACTGGGTTTTCTGGCTCGTGGGTTCATTCCTACTGCTTTTCATATTATTTTTTTTTCTTTCAAATTGAAGAGACTTGCACTTTCATGAACATTTCCAGCTTGAAATATCATCTATTAAAGTGCGATATTAAAGCAGAAAACAGTTCTAGCCACCTTGTGTAAATTTCACTGCGGGAGAAAGGGGCTACGGCCAATGGGATCTAATGCTGACCCATCATTTACACTGTGGGACCAGGCCTGTTCAAAGCCCAGGGGCACTACAGATTTTGTGTGACGGAGATGATCAAAGTATTTGAGGGGGGATTGAAATTTTCGATTCTTGGATTTTTGGGGGTAGGAAAATTTGGCAAGTTATTCTTTTGGTTGGCTTGATTTTATTAGGGGTTTTTTGGGTACTCAAAACAATGGTCCCTGTGGACCACCTCTGGCCTCTGCATTTAAAAGAAAAATGTTATTTGATTTTTTAAAACTTTCCTCATTTTAATTAGAAATTAAATTAAATTATGGATAAGTCATCAGGGAATTCTCGTTAATTCTAAAACCTGGTAAATATTTGTAAACAGTGAATTACTAAGCCTGAAATCCTGGAAATGAAATTGTATAGTTGTAAAAGAATCATTTTTGGACGATATTATATATATACTTCTACTCATTGTCTATTTCTTTCTTAATTTGTAAACAATATTATCTTTTTTATTCAGCACATGGAATAAATACTGGAGAATTTTAAACCAGTGTATTTGTCTTATTTACAGGCAAAATCAAAACCAGGAACAATCCGTGGAGACTATTGTATTGAGATTGGAAGGCAAGTTTATTGATGAAAAAAAGTTGTTGAGGTTTCAAATTCTTAATTGACTTTAAAGTTATAGCCATAAGCAATAAAATATTATTTTCTCTGTTTCTCTGTACCACTCTGTTGTGGCAAGAAGAGAAGAAGAGATTGGGTTGCTAATTTGAAGGGCAGGGGGGAGCACCTATTTTTTTCCGTAATTTTGGCCTCAATAATCTGAAGGTATCATTCATAGGAAACGCAGATTTGTTTTTTACATCTTTTAATACATCCTATTATTACTATCCGAGAGCAGAATTTTTAGACTAACCTCTCTACCATGTCCATATTATAAAGGTGCACATATTCAAGGCAGCCCAAACTCACTATATAGGCAATATTGAGTTATGAAGCGATTTGCAGTTGTTACGCTATGAGAATCTTTTATGATTCTAACAGATCTCTTCTTTTGAAGGTTTTCCAGAATTTTATTTGCTGGGTAACTTGGATTTTCTAGGTTCAGAACTTCATTTTTGCTTTCTAAACAGGGAGAAAAAAGAGTTTGTATAGTTTATTCCAGCCTGCGTATACAGCTGTAGCCTGCAGAACAGGTTTTATTTTTTGATGTTTTTCCGGCATGAGAAGGCAAGCAGGAGGCAGGCGGGCATGTCTTGCACTCCACATCACCTTGTGCTGGCCTTCACTTAGTCTGCTACACAGCCGTTTTTAGTGTCGTCACCCAACGCTCCTCCCCACAGTGGGAATGACAGCTGCCTCTTGTCGTCGCTGGGTGACTCTCTCTTGAAATGCCCCAGTGACGAGGAGTGCTGTGAGGCTGCTGTATAAGCTGGTAGTACAGGCATTCTTTGCATGTTTCAGGCCAGTGAAGGCTAGTCCTGCTATACAGCCGTTTTTAGTGTTGTCACGCAACGCTCCTCCCCATGGGGAGGAGCACTTCTCGTCACTGGGGCGTTTTAAGAGAGAGTCACCTAGCGATGACAAGAGGCAGCTGTCATTCTCAGGCACATAATCTTCTCATAAATTTTGCAGACCTGATGAGTTTCATTTCTTTTGTGCAGGAATATTATTCATGGCAGTGACTCAGTAGAAAGTGCAGAAAAGGAAATTGCTCTTTGGTTTAGTAAAAAGGAAGAACTGGTGGACTGGACTCCTGCAGCCTATAAATATGTTTATGAAAAATGACCTGTAATCGCTTGTAGCTAGCAGCAATAAATTCAGTGAATTTTGTAATAATTTGTTAAAGTACGCAACTTCTTTTGTAAGGTTGTTTAGTCTCTTGCAAGGGGAGCAAGGGTGACATAGTGTCAGAGAGGCTTTTCCCCAGTACTCCGGTTTCACCCCGCCGCCCCCCCCCCCCACCCCCCAAAAAACGAACCCCTTACGATAGGCCATTTACATGATGACATAATTTTACTGCAAAGGCCAGAATTTATCATGGTTTTGCTATCTTATGCGGATTGGTGCTTTTGTTATTTAGACGTCACTGGTTTACTGGGATAATCAAATTTAAATGAGAAAGGAAAAAGGATCTTGGTCGTAGTAGTACAATGACCGATCTCGATCTCTGACAAGAGAAGGTATTAAAAACTCTAATGTGAACTGAGACCGACAAAACTCTGACCTCGGTATACCAAGGCTAAAAGTAAAAAATGATCTAGTAATAGGAAATAGGTCTGAGCTTAATATGTTTACACAATGGTGAGATAAAAGACGCTAAAAAGTATATACAAGAGAGTAAAACCAGTGAAAGCCAGAGTGAACAAAAATTGTTCTTATGGAGTCAGCGTACGGGGTATGGGAATCAGCTCTGTTTTCAGATGTACATTACCGCAAATGATCCCCGACTGAAAATGAACCCCACACCGCAAGCGATCCCCATTGTCGACCGTGTGTTCACCAAATCTGTTACTGAATACTCTGGGTGCCAGAGATTTTTCTTGGGCGGTTTCCGGTTTCTGTAGCCTGCGTACCAGGCGCTAGTAAGGAATATGGGAGAAAGAACGCGTGCGCCCCTTTTTTTTTTTTTTTTTATTTCAAGCTCCTGCTGCCCAGGCTAGTTTTCTGGGGATTCGCTGCTCGAGGTTTCGTCCTTCGGCCAACACCGAAGATTCCCGCTGCGCTCGAGAAAAAAACCTCTGGTACGGAGCCCAGGGTAGTCACTAAGGTGTTGTTATTAATAGTCTCCTTTTCTCATGTCTCCCAGTCCTTTTTGGCGAAAAGTGTTTTTTTGTCTTTACGTGCTCACTGTTACTAAGAACTCAACGGATATTGGAGAAAAGGCGGACTAGTACTCTAGTCATTGCAAGCCCGGGCTGCAAGCAGTCTATTTTCTTGCAGCCCGTTTCATCAAGGCCTCTTCACATGCAACTTCACATGAGCCTGGTTGACCGGGCTAAATTTCGCCTTGGGTTCATATGAGAAATTTCAGCCCGGTCTCCGAGATTAGAAATGGCCAAGATCCTGGGAACGAGTTCTGGCGCCAAATTCGAGAAACAAAGCAAACATGACGAAAGTTATAACATTCGCGCTTATCAAAGTTTCGGCAACTCTTGGAGCTATATCACTGCAGTTACCGTTTCTATTCGATTAAACGACGCCCTCTATCAAACGCGACAGATGGAAGCAAAATTACCAATAAACGCCTCCCTCGAATTAACGCCGCACCTAATCAGGAGAATGCGGCGTTTATTCGAGGATGATAAGAAAAAGAAATCTCACCACAACTTGGTAATTTATAACATCCAGACATTTACGACCCTATCTCAGCAAAATAACATTGGAACCTTTAAATTACATAATATTTACAAACGATTACTGTTGTCAGATATTTTGAAAAAGTGATTTCGAAATAAACGCCGCATTGGAAACGCGAAAAATTTAATAAACGCCGCGGCGTTTAATCGCATATTTACGGTAAATGGAATGCTTATGATGTAGCTTACATAGCCTGCGCGCAGACACTTTAAACCTTGTTATACGTAAAACCTTGTTCCGTGGGATGCCTGTGGCATCCCCACGGTAAAAATCCGGTTCGGTTGAACCCAAAATTGCAAAGCCAGCCAATAGGATTGCCTAAAATCTTTATCGATTATCTCTTCTTCCAAGCCGACCAATCAGATTGTACAAAATCTGTATCGATTTTTAATCGATTTGCTTCCTCTGAAGAACGTTGACATCAGCACGTTCCTTGCCAAATTTGTCGCGCTAGAGTTTTCCCACTCGTGGTTTAGGATGGCTTGTTAACCAGCGAAATCCTTCGGGATACTGGCAAGTCACGAAAGGCGACCTAAACCAAATTATTTCTTTCCTTCATGATTCTTTTTTGTTTGGGTCTAGCTTTTTCATAAGGTTTTAGTAGCGTCTGGTTGCGGGCCGTGATTTCCAATAGATTTTTCTATTCGGAGTTCGCCAGTTTTTGCCGAGCACAGCTAGAATTCAGTTTTTTTCTTTTCTTATCGAAAACACCTTGACGATGAGAGCTTAAATCGCGTAAATTTCAACTCGTACCCTCGACGATTGGCGGTGAAATCGCGAAAATATTGTCCTCGTCGATCGACGACTCGCTCTCGGCATGGATTGGACTTCCGGATGGGACACGGATCAGGAGTGGACCTTAGTAAACTTATTATACCTTGGAATCAGGGATAATCATTGGAACTACGTTACTTTGAGACCTTGGGAACACATTGCAATTAATTTTTAACCGTATCAAGAGCATCTTGCAATATTAAACTTTATCTTGGATTAAGACATTGTAACTTTATCGAACTTTGTAACCCTCGGTTCGACCCTGGACAAAGCAAGCAGATGTTTTGTTTTGTTTTGTTCCATTAACCTAAAACTACAATGTTTATTTCTCTTTGAAAAAGTTACCTGTGGCAACTTACTACCAAGATATGACGTATCTTTATACATATAGTTCCTGTTCAGGTTAATCAGAGAGCATTATGCCATGTTCTCCATTACTTGTTTCCGTTAACATTCCAATTTAAGTTACACTGGTAAACCTTGTTTTGATGCAAAATAACTTCTTTTTCTTATCCAAATCGTGCTATGAAAATAACTACATAGCGATAGATCAAAACAAGATCAACTCCATCCTTGCGACCACTGACAACTATAAATTTAGCTTGCGTAGCAGGTGTCGAAAGGGGTAGGGGATAGGGAGGAAGCAAAAAGGGGATGTGGATTGGGGAAAAATTGTAGCCTGCCACGCAGGCTACTATAAATCAGTCATAAGCACATTAAACCAACCCATACAGGTAATCTACTCATCGATGCTCATAACATGACACATCTTTCCGGTTTCCCTAATTTTTCCAAATTCAGATTGAACGCCATTATGCTTCCATATACCAACGCATTCCACGGAAACGACCTTAGGCGTCTTGTTTATAAGTAAAATCCAACTAGCTATTATCAATGCTGCGTTCTGATTGGTTGAGCTACTACTAGGCTATATGTTGTAGCGGCACTAGTAGCGAAAAGCGAGGGCTTTTTGGCGGCAAAAAAGGATTAAAGTCTAGCTCTAACTAGCTAAATTTTTTTTATTCTCGATATTTTTGACCAACTAGTTGGATTTTACTAAAACAATTATTCCTCTCGCCCTTATGGCCTCTGAGTCAATAGCCCATTCGGCCTTCGTCCTCATGGGCTATTGACTAAGAGCCCATTCGGGGTCGAGGAATAATTGTTAAATATCCAGATATGTGGGCCGGCCGCCGCCCCAGGTTATAGCTTACAGTGTAGGCATTTTCTATGCAAGATGGCAGCCCGTAAGGCAAAGCGCTCGATCTCGATGATCTTACGGAAAAATAGAGGACTGTGAACAGTCTATCGGGTGCGCGAGGTGCGCGAATGTTCTATTTCTACTCGCCCCAATCTTCCTCTGTCATAAAATCTAAGATGGTGGCAACAACAATACGAACATAAAAAAGCAGCTTTAGCCCGCGCCCAAAATATGCCTGATGTGCAAAATACAGCAGGCAATGCAAGACGATGCCATCCCGACCGCCTGAATTCATCCCGGTAACAGGGCTGAAGTGTCCATATCAGGCAAAATTTTCAGCCCGCTTGGCCGCTTAGTAAGCGGCCAAGCGGCGCTTACCGAGATCTCGGTTTGAAAAAACCGAGCCAGCCCTCTCATATGAACGCATCGAAATTTTACAAAGGATTTAGACGGGATGTAAGGCGCGATCTCGGAAACCGGGCTCATGTCAAGAGGCCCTGAGAAGTATTTCGGCACCCCCTGGGCCCCGGCCCCCCGCTCCACCCTTTTCACCTTAATTGGGCATTGTAACATAAATGTGCACCGCCCACGTGGCGTAAGTCGCTTTCAAAGATTCAACCGGTTCTGTGTAAAGTGTTTTGAAGAAAGCGCGTATAATTCCCTTTTGAAGATGTCAGGTAACGGTGAAGGAAACAAGGAGCGAACATTTCTTATGCTCAAACCAGATGCTGTCCACAGAGGACTTATTGCCGACATCATTAAACGATTCGAGCAGAAGGGATTTAAGCTGGTCGCCATGAAATTCGTCAAGGTTTGATCGAAACAGTCTGCTTTCGATTCCGTGAAGTCATGGCTTGAGTAGTACAAATTGTTCATTCGAAGTTATTTTGTATTGTTCTAGGCCAGCGATGAGCTGCTTCAAAAGCACTACGAAGAACTGAAAGAGAAGAAGTTCTTTCCAGGTCTTATAAAATACATGTCGTCAGGTCCCGTTGTAAGTAATCTACTCATCGATGCTCATAACATGACACATCTTTCCGGTTTCCCTAATTTTTCCAAATTCAGATTGAACGCCATTATGCTTCCATAGACCAACGCATTCCACGGAAACGACCTTAGGCGTCTTGTTCTCGGAAGATCCGATCGCTTGCCGAGAGTGTAAAGAGTCAAATCTACATAACAAGACGCTTTTGGAACGTACACTTGGCCCTAGTGCTATCACGCGTATGTGACCATGTGCCAAGATGACCATAACATGGAAATCTGTCATCAAGTTGAACACAGGTTGCAGGCTCCACACAAAGTAAAAAAGGTCATTTTATATTGTTTACCCTGTGGCGCGGGCGGGCCGTGACTACCAACATTTCTCGGATGCGTGGATAAAAAAAATTTCTTACCCATGGTGCTCCGTTGCGCGTGTGAGAGCTCCGCCATAAGCCATTTGCAACATCTCCTATAATGCACTTTATTTGCCCCCCAAAATTTTGCACAAGCATTATTTTCAATTTCTCTTGGGACGGCCGTAATACCCGAGAGAAATGAAAAAAAAGGGTTATGCAATTTTTTTTGGAGGGGCGGGGGATAAGGTGAATTTTGGGAGATGCGCATTAGTGGCGTATAAGCAAAAACAACCAAATTTTGATTAGAAGCAGAATTTTTTCCATAAACTAGAAACCTGGACAAGGTTGTCTGACATAACCTTTGTAACGTTGATTAAAGTAATACAAATCAGAGGGTTTTTTGTTAAAAGGTGTACGTTAATCAGGCAACCTTAATCACGAATATAATAGTCTCGGCCTTCCAAAATGAATGAGTCCTTTCTTGCAGCATATCTCAACCAAGACAAATTTAAAACACCTGCAAATGACACAATCTTCCTGTTTTGGATGCGCAGAAAAACGAACGCGAGATAGAAAAATCATCCAACAGACGAAGTTTTTGTTTTGTCGATTGAAGAAGTTTCCGCGCTTTTCTGGGTTCGCGTATTTTCAGTTTGAAATGTGTTTGTTTGTCTCCTTTTTTTCTCGATCTTTTTTTGATCGAGCATTTTATTGGTTTGGCATGTACCCATTAAAGTATTATTCACTTCAGAAGAGAACAGTATTTCATTGATATCAGTCGCAACACAGGATTGTATTAACAAGCCACTCACTTATGAAATAAATTACAAACAGTGTTTCACTTCACAGATGCTAGTCATTAGAACGTAATACCGCTCTGCAAAATTTGGAAGTGATTGTGTGGACAGCAGTGGAAATGCGCACTCAAGTTTATAGTTCTATGGTCGCGACTCATGGCTTAAACCCTTTAAAAAAGACTGTCACTCTTTTTGGCTTTGGCTGAAGTCTCCAGATTTCAAAGTGTACATTAGATTCAGTTAACAAAACAGTTGCCGTTCTACCAGAAATTGCAGATCCTAACATATGAGTTTGACCAATTCACTTGTAAGGTTGGAAAATCATCCCCATCGGTCTCATTAGGTCATTAGCGTCATTAGCTACTTGGTAAGACTGTCCAATTCCTTGGAGAGAGAGCCCTGTATTTTGAATTGATTTGTTAAGGCTTATCGATTTCAACAGAGAGTGATTGATGTGATGGACTTATTTGAACATTTGCCTGTCGGTGAAATGGTCGTTTGGTGTCTGCTCCGCTTCTTTCGTGTATCTTCTGCAACATCGGTTCTATTCCACTTGCGAATGACACACTTCACTACAATCAAACAATAATTTCAAGCAGGTATGGGAAACTGCCCACCTACCCCTCCCCTGAGTCAACGTTAACACTTACTTCTCACTTAGGGCAAAATGTTGGGCTAGGGGAGGGGAAGGTGGACAGTTTCCCAGGAACCTAAATTGATCCATAATTTCTTCCCGGGGGGTTCTCTGGGATTTTTTAGGGGGGGGGGGGGGGGGGGGGGGGGGGCGTTGTGGCAGGGACCCTGAAACCCTTCCGTTTATATTCGACTGCAACTTTGCTACCGCGATTCCAGATCTTCCACGGCAGCGTAAGGCAGTACTTTTCGCCCCATGTAAGGGCATCCGGATTCAGGAATCCAGGAAATTTTACATGTGGAATCCAGAAACCCGGGCTTTTAAATCCCGAATACAGCTCAAGGAATCCGGAATTGCACTATCAAAAGGAATCTAGAATCCATGGCGTGGAATCCACAATCCAACGCTGTCTTGCGTTTCCTTACTTGGTACGATCCAGCTAGTTTTGATATCAAATAGTAACCTACCTTGATCTGCAGTATTGGTACGGGTAATGCAATCACCAGAACACCAAACAGGCAGCAAGCGCTTCCCACCAGACGGCCTGCTAAGGTCACTGGAATGATATCACCGTAACTTGAAAAGAACGAAAAATCAAAGCGGTGGTGAGAAATTCATTGATTTTAGAGGTTTTTGTTGTCATTTTAAGGTTGTTTACAAAGTAAGAGGTAAACATAAACATAAGCACATCATCATCATCATCATCATCATCATTATCATCATATTTATTAAGGGTCCAATCTTACTGCGTGCCTAAAGGATCGGACACTTTTACCTAGAAATAATACAATGCAATAGACGTATTATTAATATAGCTAAAATGACTATTTCAAATCATTCAGCCTAAAAGTTACTTGAAGTAGGCATCACAAGATTTCGGCTTCCGTGTTAAAGAGCTTAAGCAACTACGACGACAACGACGACGACGACAGCTTCAAAAAACAATCGATTTTATGATCAAAACAACAGCTCTGCACGTGCATCACGCTTTTTAATACATTTCTTTGACGTCCACTGCACGACTACGACGTGAAACCTCTTAATTTGACTTTTTATGGAGTACGTGGACATACGACGAAGAATTTTCCTTCCTCTTTTTGAACTTGAATAAAATCCTCAACAATTCAACTCCACGAAACGTCGCCTGCATTTGAAATATTGAGTGGGTCCAAATAGACGCGATAAAGTTTTGTTTTCGTTTAAGATTAACTTCGCGCGTACAATACATAACTTACCCAGCAGTGGTTGATGTGATGACTGCATACCACATGGCCTGCGGTATGCTGGTAAATTGCGTATCCTCCGACAACTCCGCAAAGTAAATAATACTGGAAAACAAAATGACCATAACCATGTAAACAAACCCAATCAAGCCAAGCTCTGCTGCCGAATCTCTCACACTCTGGAGTAACTTCTTTAAGCGCTTGGAATGGCGTAAAAGCTTAAACACACGGAGAGTTCTCAGAACTCGCAGTACCACGAAGGCCTCCATTCCCGAGCTAGCACCAACTGACAAATATTCCAGCAATAGGTTAATGTAATACGGAAGAATAGCCAGCACATCAACGATACTCATGACGCTTATGAAAAATCTCAGACGGTGTGGGCAGACCATGAGCCGTGCAACGTACTCGAACGTAAAAAACGTGACGCACGCCGTATCTATGTTGAAGTAGGTCTCCTCGTTCTCCTCTTTGCATATTCTTATCGTGCCTTCACACGCAATAGTCTCCGCGGTGTTTGCTACGACGCTGATAGCAATCACAAAAACGCTCAAAAGGTAGAACAACTTGGCGATCAACGAGATAGATGGCTCTTGCAATGTTATCCAAACTTTTTCCCTGAAAGTCGCGTCCGGCCTCAGAAGGTGTGTAGCCTCAGTTGCCTCTTTATCAGCAGCCTCTTGTTCTGCTTTTCGTTTTGTTAGCTTTTCGTACGCTGGCTCGAAAGTTTCTTGCCAACAGCAATTGCATAACATGCTTACGTCCAGACCAAAGAAAGCCACTTCGTCCAAAAACGACTGGAGGCATTCCTCCCGTGGACAATGGAGTTCCCCAGAGTGGTAAAAGTTCCAAATGTATCGAAAGCAATCCGGATCTCGGTCGAAAAAGAACTCGTTTCTAACTCTGTCGTAGTAGTATAGTATCGCTTTACTACCAAGCAAAGTACTAGGGTAGATTGAAAGGAAGTATTCATTGATTTTAAAGCACCTACCACTCACGTTAAGAGTCAAAATTTTGGTGTCTTCGGGACAATCAATATGTTGTCGTTTTTGTCGAGAAGCTCTCGAGTCTGTGCTCCGAACACTATGGTTAGACGAACTGAACTTTGCAAGTAATCGGGATGGAGAGATTAGAGATAAAAAACTTCTAATGACTGAAGAGGTGTCACTTTTATTCGATGATTCCTCAACTGCAGATGAAGCAGAGCTCTGCAAACTTAAAGACTGATGCTGAAGTTTAGGTCGCCTGGAACGCGAAAAGGCCCTTCTTTTTTGGTAGGCCGACAGATTTGAACAACTTGCATGAAGTGAGGGTGCTGCACTTTCTTCAAAAGAACATCGCGCTGAGTCTGGATGCAGAAAAGCTGATGATGCCATATTTGATCTTGCGTCCACCGTGTTTAACCTTGAACTTACTTTTTTGTCTGCCAGAGAATCGTTAACAAAAACAAGTGATTTTTTACTGCGTTTCCAGTTCAATGACTGTGAAACACATTTCTCACCAAGACTTAAATTGGGTGTAGAGAGCTGTTTGCAACGGTTTTTTTCTTTCGGAGAAAAAAATGTCATGGGATCCTTTACCACTGTACTTGAAGTCTTAGGCGTAGGTGCATCAGTTGCTGTCAACAGAGATAAATCACTCTCGTCCCCTATGGAACAGTTGAATTCTACATTCGGAAAAATAAGCTCCCCTTTCTCATCTGAATTATCTTCAGAACTTTGGTTTGAAAATGGTGAGGAACATTCCGAACTCGCCGGGGTAGATAAAGTGGTGTAGTTTGTGCGAAGTATACAACAAAGTTGCCCGGTAGGTCGCCTACAACCTGCAGTCCTGTTCTGGTGTAAATTCGGTACCGAAGCTGCCAAAGGCAACTCTTTTATCTTTTTATCGTTGACTTCATCTGGGTTTTGAACACCTAAAGAAGCTACTGAAGCTCGTAACGGAGCCATTCGACAGCCCGCATGGTTCGCAAACAAGTATCCATCACCTTCACATGGTTGGTCCCCGACATCCCCTCGCGTTGGACTGCTCAAAAATTCTCCGGAATATCCACTATCACATCTGATATCGGTGCTTGAATTAGCAGAGGTTAGAGGTAACGAAAGAGACAAATTTCTTGGAAAAATACACCATGTTTGTTCTCGGTCTTCTTCTAGATTTGTCAAGGGAATATTTTTTGGAACAATAAACGGTGATGGTGGAACAAGCAATTCACCAGAGCATGCACGTTTTAGCCCTTGTTCTGAAACGCTTGTCCTTCGTGAGCACGGCGATAACAAAACAGCCGGTATAGCATTATCAAAGCCTTGCTCGTCAAGCTCATTATCATCTGCTGAGAAACTTGTTTTTGGCGAAAAAAGCGTCTGTGTGCCCTCATTAGGAACGTCCTCTAGGATATCTTTTAGCGGGAAATCTTCGTCGACGTCCTTATTCATGATGGAATATTTTCAGGCACCGGCCAAAGGCCAAAGGCAGTGCGTCGGTATCGTTGAATGTCAGCAGAATTAAGCGTAGATTAACCGCAGTTATAGAGTTCAATAACGTAATCCCGTTCACGCTGTTTGGGTGAAATTAACGCAATGTTTCAGCCAGTCATTTCCATACCATCTTTTGAAGTCCACCAAAAGACTTGGTCAATCGTTTAGTCTAAGATTGAGGAGACAAAAAAAACTGCATTAATTAATTTTTTAAAGAATCGCAATTCTTTAAGGGCAAAGTGAAAATACTTGTCGTGTTTCAAGTTTGCTCTTGATATTTTAGCATTTTCTAAGGAGTTTACACATAGGAATTTTCATCGATGATTAGACGAGAACGGCTCTGTTTTCTGGTCAGGGATGAAAGTTTCGCCACGGTAGGAGGAAACACTAAACATTTTCCCGCAACTAGAATTATTTCATGATCATTAACGTATGAAAATAAAACATTTACCTTATTTATGCGTCATTTCAGTTTTCTTTCGGATGAAAAACAACCGCGTTAATTCCTCTTGAACACTGAGAAATAGTGCAGACCTATTATTTTACGAAACGTTTGCCATTAAATAAACATAACTTCTCGCGCCTTAAGGTTAAATGCTACAAAAGAACTTAGAATGGAAACTTTGGATGACGACCAGAAATTCTTCAGCGAAGTCGCAGAACAATTAAAATTAACATTAGAAGAGAAATCGACGGGTTACCCAGAAACGAAATGAAAACAACTTTAAATTTACAAGAACTTTTCTTACTCAAAACACCGTTAGGGAGTTCCTAATAAGCTCTGTGAAAGCTTTAAACTTTAATAAGCCTGATTTCAAATATTGGGAAATAAACAGGGTTTCAAACTGTATGTTTACTATGTAAACTGGCCTAAATACTTCATGTTATTTCAACATTTATGTTTTCCTGAATTTTTATTGAGAAACTTCAAACATAACTAATTATGCACCTGTTGAGGAAAGATTTTACCGCAATTTCTTGACAAAAAAAACCTTAATTAACGCATCCAATCCCCCCTTGCGGAACTGAGCCGAAAGTAAAAACAATAAACTACGTTCTTTGCACGATTTCAAATAGATCTTCTGATAAGGGAACGTTAGATTTTTAAAAAATTAAAAAAAGATCGAATGAGGAAAAATATTGCTGTAAAAATGCGCTGGCCTACTACATTTATTTACGAAATATGTATGTTGGCTGATAGAATTCTTTAAACTTGCGTTGTAAGCTTCCCGCTGTGATTCCACGAATGAATGTAACAGAAAGTAACAAAGGATAAAGTTCAGCCGTTCATCTTCCAAATGTTACATTTAAAAACACTCAGGTTTCAGATTTATGATCTTGTGGATAAATCAGAAAACTTTGCGCTTCTAAGATTTATAAAAAAAACAAACAGCTTCAATATTTATGTACAAGATATACCGAAAGTATGGCTATATGTATTTGTTTTGGTGATTATGTCAATCTATTTGGAGAACTTATGCACGTGAATCGCAAATTAAAGTTTTGCTTGTCCTTTAATATTTTGTCTGCGAAAAAATTGATATCATCGCACGTTGTATCCAGGTCCTTTCTTTCTTAGAAATATTGCTGTTTTGTCTTCCAGAAAATCACGGAATTCGAATTTTAGGCTCTAAGTGGATCGATCCAAAATCACAGAAAGAAATCAGAAATTGTAAAAACTCACCAAGGTCACATGTTTTAGGTTCAAACTGCACCGCCCATGGTCCAATTGAATATTTACCAAAAACTTGGGTTTATAAAAATAAAGTTACCTTAGGAATTAATCGAAGGCAAAATATTTAAAAGAGACATTTCCACTGTGTAAAGCTGGGAAGCGAAGGGTGGCGATTAGAAAAAGAAAACAGCAATGCTGATTCCGAATCCAAGGTTACCAATGGTAGTCGTTACGCTTGTATTCTATTTTTTTACTGTTTTTTTAGTTTTATTGGCACTACACCAAAAGGCATATGTATATTAACCACCCTGCTAAGGGACAAATCAAGGACAAGGTCAATGCTATGACGTCATAATATTTGACGTCAAAACACAAGTTATCTGCCGACAAAGGAACCACGAGAATTTATCAATAACCTTCTTTGGACAACTTGTATTTCAAAATCGCCTACAAATTAAATATAAAGTGAGGTAATTGTGTTTTCTAGAAAGTTCCAAGTTTTGTTGCTAGTGTCTCAAGGTCTTGCAGTCGTTTTTCAGTTAATCATTTCCATCAGCCCACTCACCAACCACGCTCCCACCCGCCGAGGCCAATACCAAGTGACACTCTTCAAAACAGCAAGTACTGTCAATCCCAGTGCTGAGGTAACCATCCAGTTGTCACCCTAACATCGCATCTCTCGCGCGGTTCCAGTAGTGAGCGTATGCAACGAAGAAAGAGATGTCAACATAACATAATTCCCTTGTTTTGCACTACGCATCAGCTACTGTACATAACATTGCGACTTTAAAGGTGGCGATAATTTTCACCAGCCGCCTAAAGAGGGGGTAAAAAGGTCCATTTTGTGATCCAAATGCTTTTAATAACCATTTTAATAACTTTTCCCGGCGAAAGAGGTATTGGTCTTGACACACACACACGCCCTAGTCTCTTCGCTCAAAATGATCCCTTGAAGACAAAATTGTCCCTTTGTGGTCTTTTTGCGACGAAACGACAAAAGTGATTCCCCATTTCATTGGTGTTTTATGGCTACACGAATAGTATATCTTAAGGAGAAATTTAAAAATAGGGATAATAGAAGTATGAATGATGTGAACCTCCGCATTTAGAGCAAAAGAAGAACATGAGATAATTATAAAACTGTCCATTTCTCTGCCTTTTTTTTACAAGATCGGGTAATTTTAAGTCACCTTAGGAAATTTGATCATGTTACACCTATTCTTAAGCAGTTACAGTGGCTGCCAATTGTTAAACAATTTGAGGTTAGGGATGCTACCATGGTATTTAAATGCTTAAATGGACTTGCACCTCCATATCTTTGTCAGAAGTTTAAAACCAAATCGGAAGTGCACAACTGCAACACTAGGAATAGTATAGGGACTGCCTACATATGCCACTCTGCAGGGGCACCCAATGGATCTGTTCCTCAAAATATCTGTTCTTCAGGCACATTTTTGCTGGCTGGGAGATGTGGAAGAAATAATAGTCCTTGGAAGGAAAGTGTTGATGGGAAAAAGATAATTCAGGGTGTCAGAGGGGATTTGAAGTCTACAATAGCTGCTACGGGTTACTTTTATGGGTTACTTACGACTCAAGATCTGAATTGTGCCCTATGAAACTTCCCAGTAAGTCAGGTTGCAGGTTGTAAGGTTGCTGGCTGGGAACTCTTCCATCAGTCTTGCTGGGAGTGAGGAACAGATAATTTTTTTCCAGCAATCTCCCAAAATGCTTAAAATAGTCTCAGAAAGCTTTATTCACGCTTTGTTCTTGTTTTTAGGTCTTTTTCCAAAATTCCCCGTTGGGTGCCCCTGACTCTGTAGGACGGCTGCAGGTCAGCGCGCGTTTACCTTCAGAGGCCAAAGGCTGTGGAATAGTCTCCCAGACGAGTTTCAGTCTATCACTAATTTAGATGTATTTAAGGTTAAAATAAAACAGCATTTTTTAAGGGTATTTTTGGAAAACTAAGTTTTAGATATTTGACATTGTAAATTAAGCTGAAAAGCCATTTTGAGGAGATTAATAAAGTTATTATTATTATTACTTTACCGAAAAGTTACAGCCCAAACAAACAAACAGGCCTTAAGTTTTAGTAAGATTCAAAGTTTTTGTTGTATGATCAGATAAGAATTTTTTTTCGATCATTTCGCGCGCAAAAAGGGAATAACGTACGCTTAGAATTACCGGTACGCAAGGCGAAAACAAGCACGGTGACCCTATCTTTTTGTTGCAGTTTTACAATGTCCTGTATATGGCACTCAATTACCCCAATTTTTTTGTAAAAATCTGGATAGTATATCTTTTTCGATCAAATTAAATTAAAAAATGGATTCGCGTTTACTCCATCTTGCTTAAAACGTCACCCCTAGAGTTGAATTCTCTGGGCTGCACCTGAGGTTAAAAAGAGAAAGAACTAATCCGTCGTCGCATACTGAAGGAAACTTTACGTTGTGATCGTGAAGTTGCGGCAAAGAAATGCACCAAAAAGTGTGCTGCAAGAGCAAAACTGTTGTTTTTCTCATTAAACATGTTAAGGGAAAAGATCGAAGTCAGATAAGTGATTCAGCCCCGGCTTGCCGCAAGACGCTTAAAGTGTGAAATGAAAGTTTTTCATCTAGATCAAAGAGGGAAACAAGTTAGACAAAATGTTCAACAGGGTGGTAGCTGTTGAAACGGCCAGACATGCTCCTCCAACACGATGATGCAGATCGATGGACCAAAATAATTCCAAATTGCTTAGCCAGAGCTCAAACTTGACTGGAAGCAAGTCAGTGCGAGAGCCCTGTCTACTTGTTTAGTTGATGTGTCCACCTAGTTTTACTTTAACAGATTAGAACGCAATGTATTGTTTTTCTCTTGTTTATTTCCTGTCTGCAGCTGTGCTCAGATTCAAAGTCTCACTTGGCGCATTTAAGGCTTGCTAGGATACTGTAGGTCTGAGGATAGCTCAGGATTGCGCCGGCAAAAAAACCATACCGGATGGGGCCTTTGTTCACACATATAAGAAGGGTGATTTAGGCGCGATTTTGTAACGGAGCGAAAGGGGTGAAGAGCCTATCGAAAAACTGGAGCGTCTACAGAACACGGACAGTTGACTCCCGATAACTCGAACCTCGCGCTAACTCGAAGCAAAGTCGATTTCCCCGGGATTTCCTTCTTACACTTACAGTAATTTTACCCTCGGTAACTCGAACCTCCTGCTAACTCGAAGTAATTTTTTTTTTCCCTTTAGCTGATTTCTATCATTGTCTTTACTTTTTTGTCACTCCAGTTCAAATTCAGCTGTATACTTTGTTGTTTTATTGCAATTTGCTTATTTCCGTTCTTCCGGTTATTTGGCAAGAGGTCTGGAACCGTCGAGGAAAAAAACAAATATTCAGGAGGGAGGACTGGGATTTAGTTCATCAAGCCCGATCAACCGTTCCAACCAAAGTTCCAGCCTGATGTGGCGTTCATGAAAAGCTATCCCGAGCCTTACCCATCCCTCAATGATCAGGTACTGCATTTAGATATTTATAGTCTCTTCCCTAGCTTTTGAAAGGCTTACAGCTGATTTCATTGCTATGTATACACCCGGATTTTCAGACATAATTCGACGGTCATGATTCGACCTGTGATGATTCGACACTAATCACGTGACGTATCGCTTCGCAGTAGGTAAACGGCTGCAAAAATTATTGAGAGTTCTGCCGTGGGATCCGAAGCAGTGAAGGAAAAATCTGGCTGGTAAGGAAAGCTTAGAAAGTGTAACGAAGCTAGAATCCTGACAAATGCGTTTTACCTGAAGAGGAAAGCTTTGTTGCCTGGAAAGCGGCGACATGATACAGAAATTAGGATAACATGTGATCGGGTGATAAACCTGGAGTTCGAAAGCGATTTCATAATGGACGAAATATTATCAATACGGCGAAAAGCGAAATAGTCCGATGGTTTATCGTTTAGTGTTCTTCCGTTTGACAAGGTTTCGGTATTTCGCCGTTGGTGAATACCACCCGCAATTTACATGTAACAGTGATGCAAATTTAGTTATCAGGGAGACAAATTTGTATTTCTTCAAGTTGGTACTTTTTGGTCCTTACTTAGCTTCTGCATGGTTAAAAAATAACAGGAAAACTTGACGTTTTGCAGAAGAAATCAACAGATAAATTGATCAGTCTGCCGTTGTGAAAGAATTTGCTGGAGAGTTTGAAAGTTTTGTTTTGTCGACCATTGAAAAATATCACAATGTTCGGTCCTCGACCTATGACCCTAGTGAGCACAAATAAAGAAAACCATACATAAAAGAAAGCAACATTTGTTTTTATTGAAAAAAGGTAAAATATGATATTTCTTTAAAGATCAAGGTAGAAGCTCAAAAAAAGTTGGGAAAAGAGCCGAAAAACTTATTGATCGAGACGTCCATACGCCCGATAACATGTATTGCGATTAGATTGCGTGACTTGTATGAGAGGCTGTTGTCTTAGAAGGAGCACAAATTACGGATCACAGTCCTCTTTTTCTGAATTACAAGAGAAACATTCAAGTGATCATTAAAGTAACTTTCAGATTGTGTGCTTTGATTCCTGTAGGATATTCAAGGTAAAATACTGTACTGCTTGGTAACCTCTCGGTCGAATCATGACCGTCGAATCATGTCTGAAAATCTGGGTGTATACACAGCACTGAAATCAGCTGTAATAGTTTTTACTTCAAAAAACTCCAATGGTTTGATGGAGGCATTAAATGGTGGGTGGGTCCCGGTCCGAAACTCCGCTACTTTGACTGCTAGCCAGTATTATTTAGTTGTATTAGACATTCCCAGGAAAAACCGGCGTTTTAACTACAAATAGCTGCAAGTCACACGGCTGCGAGATATAACTCTCATGCAGATCACCCCCTCCATTCAAAGTTGTTCCGCCAAGTTTTGATCATGGTTTTGTATTGCCAGCAACTTTGACGACGGGAGAAGGGGGGTGGGGACTCACCAGCACAAGACCACGGAAAAGCCATTTACGCCAAAATAAGGTACATTGCCTGAAGTATTTTTGCAACTATTTTTTTTCTAGCGCACGTTTCGCAGAAAACCGTGACACAAAGGGGGTCACAATGAGGCCGAGGACACAGTTGAACACACAAATTTTTCGTAGAAGCCTGGAATCTTTAGTTTACGTTTGTTTACATCTTTTTCTGATGTTGTATTTCTTCTGCACGCGATACAAAAAGTTATTTGGATTCAAAACGTGTTTTGAATTGCATTAATTCTAAAAGACATACTTATAATTAAGAAAGAATAAGTTTAAAGCCGGGGATTCTATTTCAATATATTATTAGAGGATAGTTGACTTTATACCAATATGTATGTGGTGAATTCACTGGAAGACGTGATTAACTCTGAGAAATATCACACTGGGAAAAAATTTAATGATAAAATTTGTGTTTTACAGAATTGTAAAATCCCTACCCTTTCAAATACCTGAAGCCTGAAAAAGGTACCCCTTTCGAGTGGAGCCTCCTTATATAAGCCATTATAGGGAGTAACCCCTATTCCGGGATTGCATTCGCATTCTGCAGTTGAAAGGTAGCCTAATATGCACTAAAGCGTTGCCAAGCTAAGACGTAAGGGAAAAAAACATATTTCTACTTGCAGCAATGTAATAATATTGTACACTGACAAAGATAATATTGTAATAATATTGTACACTGACAATACATTTAAAGGCTGCAAAAAAGTAAAAATTTTGATCTGATCTGGGGATTTTCTTTTCATTTTGTGTAATACTATGAGAAATGACAGATCACCAATTTTTAGTTAGTATACTAGCGCATTTTGAAGAAAAATATACCTGCTGACCATCTCAGTTTAGCTAAAGCAAAGATAAAATCTCTCGTAGCAATTATCATATTTAAGGTACATAGTGTAAGGCTGCTATTAGCGAAGTAATCAAGAGGGATCTACTTAAAAATGCAGTCTAAAAGCTAATAATAGGTCATTTTGCACGATGACATCATTTTACTACAACTACCAGAATCCTACAGGGTATTGCTTTCTTGTGCAAATTAAGGGCTTTTGTTATTTAAACCTCAGGGGGATTACCAAATTTTTAAAAATGTGAAAGAAAAAAACAAAATGAATCCTAGTCTTAGTAGTAAAAAGAAGTCATCGTGCAAATGGCCTAATTTGATATTGTTTATATCTCAGTTCACACTTATCTTGAATAAAAAAGGACAAATAGATTTAAAAATTATGTTTATGAATCAATACTTTTTTAGAGGATAATAAAAACAGTTGTGATATAAAGATCCGGGCATCCATGTTGTAGCAACTTATTTTAATTTATGGTACTGTAAAACTAGAGTTCTCATTAAGTGCCGGCGAGCAGCTAAAAACCCAGCTACCTTGAGGTCTGAGCTGTCTACTTTTGGGGGAAAATGGGTCATTAAGTTAAAAGGTCTCAAATTTCTTACAGCACTCGAATTGCCAAGCCACGGTACTTTTATATCCTAGCTCAGTCTACTTTAAAACTCAATGAGAACCCTGTAAAACTATTCTTGTAATGTTAGAGGTTTAAAAACTCAGTATCATTACCACTGCATGTATATTGAGAATCTATTAGTGCCTTACTGTTGTAAGTGCTGCTGGACAGTCCAAGTCCCAAAGACTTCCGACAACTCTGTGGTGTACTACATATCTTGCTGCTCCCAAGCCTCTCAGGGGAAAACAGAAACCCAAAGTCCATCTCCCCCTCTTTAAGAGGTGTGAAAATTCCATTGTCTGAGGTATAATTCAGGGGGGTGAGACCAGTGCAGCCCAAGTTAGAAGAAGTTAAGGGTGAACCCAAAAGAGATGAGAGAAAGTTGTGACTGCCATAGGTCTTTGTTGGTGTGATCATTGATTTAACAGGAGATGTGTCAGCCAAGTCACTTGTATTGTGTCTACTGAAAAAAAATCCTGGTGATGCCATTAAATCATTAGATTGAGAATTTATGGCAGCAAGAGTAGGCTGAGGGCGTGGTCGTAAGGGTGATCGTTTGGGTTGACACAAATTTTGTTTCTTTTGTTTGTTTAGTGAAGATGTCTTCTCATCAATATGCACGGTTGATTTTCTCTTCTCTGATTTTCTTTTCTTGGTACCACGGGCCAATATCTCTCTGGTTTCATTTCTTTCTTCGTTTAAATGGTTGTTGCCTGACTCCCAGTGACTTTTGCTGCTAGTAGAAACAATTGTGCTATTGTCACATACCTCAGAAATAATCTCATTTTCCTGACTTTCAGTCCTAGAAAGCAATTGCTCTACGGAATGGATTAAGCTATTCTCTTGGCTGACTTTATTTGCTATTTGAGGCAGAGATGATTGTGCATTTACTTCTTGAGTAACTGTTGCTTTTCCCAAGAGACTACTTTCAGTTTCTTGTCCATATCTTTGCCCAGCTCCATTGTGTCTCACAGCATCTCCAAAATTCTGATTCTCTGTACTCGAAGAACTTGTGGTTATGGGGAGGAAAGTTGGGTTCACACCAATAGCTGCCACATTTCCCGCAGCCGCTTGAGCAGCTATTTTGTTAGCCATGTTCATGTACATATGTGTTGGCAAAATCACAACTGGTAACCCTGTGACACTTGCATCAGACAAGAATTTGACATTGCCAGTTGCAGGACTGTTCACAATAGGGCTTGATATTAGCAGGTTATCAGATGGTTTAGGCAGGATGGGTCGCAGTACCTTTGTGATTGACTGCTCAGCATTTAAGTTTGGCCTGACATTCGGCTGTTGGTGCTTCATTACTTCCTTCATGATATTTTCTTTACCTTCAGGGGATATCGACCAGTAACTGCCCTTACCAGGAAGTGTGGATGGCCTCTTGGCCTTAAGAAAAAAGCTGTGGAGTGACAGATTGTGCCGGATCGAATTCTGTCAAAAAAGGCAGTATTGATATTAATTTCATATAATTTCGTACCAGTGAAGACCAAGCAAGGCTGTTCTCTAAGAAAAATTATAAGAAACCCCACTGCCCCGAACCTGTGAAACCCAGGGTGCCAGCATTATGATTCCCATCACAATACTAAAATTTTTGAGTTGCCTGGGAGGAAATATTACGCTCCAGGGGCCACTGGGCGCATCTAGAACACGGCCTTGCCAGGTCACCTCAGTTTTGCCCAATGGTCTTGGGTGTGATATTTCAAACTAGATACTGATTTAACCCCCTGAGACACCCTCAGCAATGTGACTTAGAGGGAGTCCATGACAGAAAGAATTTATTCAAATCAAGCGTCTATACTTAACCTTGGTTCGGATCATATACCTGCTGTCGGTATGACTTAGTGTCCATACTACTGAGATGTCTTGAGGTGAGCATTGCCTCATAAGGATCATGCAGTCAGTAGTTTAGTCTATCGATCAACCGGTGATTTGTAAACATGTAATATTTAACCCGTCATTCTAAAATAAATTTATCTAGCAGTATACTTAGGTTTACAATTCATGTACCTTCCAAGCTTTTTTGCAATGCTGATAATAGGGAAAGTTATCCTCAATCCATTTGTAGATATCTTGTAGTGTCATTCGTTTCTCTTCAGTGCTATTAATAGCAAGAAGGATAAGGGTGGCATAGGAAAATGGAGGTTTGGGGTATGGATTCATGGATGTGGTCTCTGTTGGTGAAGGTATGGTCTTTTCCTCCTCTTGATCAAGCAGTGGGTTTGAATCCAGACTGCAAAGCCACTGAATGTTGGTCAGGCTGTCATCAAGAGAAGTGGCATCTCCTGTGCAAAAGAAATAGAATTTAGGTGCAAAGGCAGACAATATAAATTCAAATTCAGTGCAAAAAATGTAGTTGGTAAAAGCAGGACTAGCCTGCTGTTTGTCATTTGGGAAATTGCAAGTTTAGAGTGTAGCTTCACATGCCTTCAATAGCTAACAAGGAGGTGCCCATATTCTTGGTGACTTGCCACTTTGCTTGCAACCTTTATGAAATTTATCACTTTCTTCTACTGGGATAGTCAAATAAGACAGGTTGAATGTCGAATGTAGGCTACATGCAGATATAACAAAGGAAGCCCTCGACATTTTACTCTCCCCTTTAAATTGTCCATGAATTTGCAGTGCTGTTGATCCAATTAGTAGTAAAAAAAAATAATCAAAATGTAATTCAAGTGGAGAGTCAGACAAATAAAATTCTACATTCTTGTAATTATAGCGTATCTATATTAAAAATGTTTTGCATACCAATAAACCCAGCATCAATTTCATCCGATTACTTCGAGTCGTTATATTACTCCCTCAGTGAGAGGAGACAACGACTCGAAGCAGTCGGATGAAATTCAGGCTACAATAATAAACCAAAGTAATCAATTGTTAGGTTTATAGTGATTCGTTATAAAGAATGTTGTGACTCAAAGGCTTCTAGCTGCAATATTCTTTACGAATAACCATAACGTTCGAAAAATAAGGGTTCTTGCTATACTTGAGGAACGTTTTAATACGCCGTATATATAAATAAGCTTATCTCACGCAAAAATAAACGGTATGAACACGCGGGTTTGGTCACTTTTTGTCGGAGTTTGGAGAACGTGAAAATTAACAAACTTGAGTAAATGTAGAACCATTGCAGAATAACTTGGGAAATATGAATTGATGGTAAATAAATTGTGATGAAATAAGCGAGAAGAATCCCAGCTACTCTTCGAGGCAAAATAAGCAAGCATGTACCCGCACGCTTCTTTATAACAAAACTGGCCTCCGATGTTTCGAGAACTCTGTCCCTTTAACATGAGTAGATCTTCCTTTCAAAAGGTAAATAAGGACAGAATTAACTTACGTTTCCTTGAACACATTATCGTGCTGTATTTCTGAAGATTCTGAGCGAGATCGCAAGAAAAATGATCAAGTGTTCGAACCAACGCGCACCGCAATATCGACAAAGGTTGAATACTGCAGTTTGAAATTCCTGCTTCCGTTGAATACCATCCAATCGCAGAACAGCAAATCAGCCTCTTTCACATGTGGGAGTTTTCCCCAGAGTGCATTACGGCATTTGCATTCGAAACATAACATCAAAATGGCGGAAGAGGATCACCTTTTCTGACCGTCAGATTTTCACTCGTGAAAAGTTTTAAAGGGTAGTAAAGGGTAGTATGATCAGAGGAGAAGGACACGCTCTTGTAGTAATTATCTTGCAAATAGCTGTTGAACTTACACAAAATGTAGCGGGTAAGTGATATTCACTATTAGATGTGTCACTGCTGGTAGCTTACATAAGCTTAATTTCCTTTTCAAAAGAGTTAAACTTGAGGTTGAATTCTGCATGCATGCATAAACGCTTTCGATTACAATTATTTTATTTGTGTTTTCAAAATGATCCACTGTTGTTATTACGTTCGGCTTTGTCTTAAAATGTTACCTCTTCGATTTCCGTGGCAATGTAAGCGCTGCGTCATTTACATGTCAGTTGTCGATTTTTAATACTCACATATACTCCATTTCGTCTTGTTACTTGAGCATCTATTCATCAACAGTATTTTAGCTAGCGGTTTCTCTCGCTTATACATGCTAAAGCGTAATTTTATCTGCTGAATCGTTCGATTCCCATTTTTTGTGCTTTGGTGGCGTGACTGTCACCTGAGATGATGGTGTCTTTACTTTTAAACTAGAATTACGTATCGTAATAACCCTCGCGAAATTCGGTTCTATTTCGTCATCATTCCTATTTCAT